TGACCATGTTTTGCTTAAGTGTTTTTTCTTTAATTGCTAATGCGAACTTTTAACACCACAGACTGAACAAAATTAAGCATTGCTTGGTAACTGGTCAACAAAGTATTGATAGTTGTGTAAATATTGTCATACTAACAGTTGTCTGAATTTTTGGTTGATTGTAATCCATTACATTAAGCATTGTGTTCTTTTAACAATCATTAAATGCATCAGATAAAATATCATTATTTAACTTATAAGTTCATACATTTCAAAGCTACTGTTGTCACAAACTCCTTTTATTCCTTTTCCCATTTTTGGAAATAAATTTGACTTAAGCCTTTCAAACCTGATGGAACCAATCTAGTCTCCATTTTTTTTTTTTTACTATGAACAGAATACAAGAAATGGCCACATGTACACTGCAAATCTTGTCATCCTTAAGTAGTAGCATAAATTTATAGGACAAACCAAAAGGTTACTTTTTCATAGGTGTTCTCAGGAATTTCCTATTGGTTTTAGAATAAGTTTTTATTTATTTATTTATGTGTAAAATAAGGTCTTTGGTGACATTACTTGAAGAAACTTCTACAAAAACTATAGTCATACCACCTTTTTGTTTTCAATTCAGCTTGCTGTGTTGCTATGTAAGAACTTAAATGGTTGTCCAGTTTATCAAGTGCATCTTTGTAGTTCTTATGCCGTTGGCGGTTTTGCCACACAAATGTGTTTTGGTTGTATTTTAGCATTTTTTAAACGTGATTCAAATATACAGATTATGTTACTTTAAAATCTAAATAAAACATTCAGTTGTAGATTTTTTTTTATTTTGAGGCTGCTTAAAAATACCAAGTAGATATTTTTACAACATTTTCAGCCACTTCAATCAGGAATGTACAGCCACGGTAAGAAACAGACACGACACAGGAGTGTTCCGTGTTCAAGTTTCTTCAGAGGTTTATCCAGTGCCAAGGATACATTGTCATATATACACAGTCAGCCTGAATCAAAAGAATCAAATATTGTGGTCTAATCATTGGACGGTTCCCAGGAAGATTTACATCAGGATTCAAAGATTTTGTGAATCATTTTAACATTACATGGAAGAAGGCAGTCACTCTGATAACAGCTTTGATCATAGTTCATAACATATCTGTAACAAAGTTTGTTGTTACGGGAAGGAGGCGGGAACCGGCAAACATTTAAACATAAAGCTTTAATTATAAAATAAACACACTTGTCATCACTCCTTCACTTATCCTTCCGGAGCTCCTCCGTGGGTCTTGAGTGTGGCGCGCAGGTGATGCTTATTAGCACTCGCGTCACCGAGTCGCCCCTGCCCTGCTTGCCACAATACTGTATCCATTTTCAAAGCAGTTTTGAAAGCAAGGACAGACCAAAACCAACTGCTTTAGGAACAAAACCCGGCAACAAAAAAGTCGCCATATTGCCGATACCATCCACAACCTTGCTTAGTGTGGAGCGTTGGGACGTTTCCTGTTTATTCATATCTCCTTTCAGGCTGTCAACTTCTCTCTGCATCCTGGCAGCCTCCTGCTGAAAGCCCTGCTGTAGAAGAGCTTCCCTTTCCTGCAACACAAACAGCAACTGAATTAAGAATGGCTATTCCTAATCTTGACCATAAACAACGTTTATATTCCAAAAACATTACAATGAATATTCCTCTAACCTTGAGCATTACACTTCTGCAATTAATTCAAACAAGCCAAACATGTACAGACTCCATTGGTATTACAGACTCCATGTACTCCTTTAAGCACAGCATTGAACATGGGACATTTTTTAGAGTAAGTATCCTGTTTTACCTTCACTTTTGCTTCCAGGACTCGTTGATTGTCTCTCCTCATTCTCTCCTGCTCTCTCTCCATCTGACTAACGATCTGATTCACATGCTCATCGTGGGCACTTTGCATGTCTTTAAACGCCTGCTCCTGTAACCAGTTCTGTTCCTCTAGACCTCTTTGCCGCTGCTCCAGAATCTCATTCTTTAGTCTTTGCACTGTATTGAAAAAGCGAAAGTTTAGACAATACACAAAACAGGTATTTAGTAATGAAAGCCTGAGTTACTGCTAGTAAACCGTATATTAATCACAAAATCTAATTTAAGTCATTGTACTATCTTGTGTATCATTGAGAGCATTGACTGATAGAAATGTGTGCAGTTGATTTGAATTGTACCCTCTTTCTCCTGTTCCGCTGCGCTGAGAGATTGGTCAGATTGTAGAATCATATTTCCAGCCTCTTCCTTTGCTCTCAAATATATACTCAACACTTCCTCACTCTGTGGGGAAAAACACATTTATAATCATCCAAAATATCAATGGGAGTTTTGTTGTGATTGCATAAAGTACCATAAATGTTGCCCAGATGTCTTGTGCACTATATTAAATATCTTCTGAAGCCATATCATATTGAATGTCATCTGATAACTTGGTATATTGCACATCAGTTCATTCGTCATTCATGGTGTTGTTGTGTTTTTTTTTCCTACTAGTTTTAAAGTTTGACAGCCCTGATCATTACAAACTGTTATAGGATAAAAAGTAACATATGTACATTCTTCAGAATTTGTAGTTTTGTGCTTCAAGGAAAATAATAACAGTATATAAATGTGCAAACCTGGGAGTGAGTAAATGTTTCACAACTGTTATCACGTCAGCATTAAAGATGTTTATCAGTGCTGCTAGATGCTGTTGTGACCTTCCCAAACAATTATACATGAGAAAAAGCATGCATGTCTCAAATGTACCATTATTTGTGAGTGTGTTTTTGCTCTGTAGTCACTGGTCAGCTGTGTGAGCGTGTCTCTGTACTGTCCGTATCCTCCAGGTTTCAGGTATGATCCATCAGAAAAGCTTTTTTCCAGTGATTCAAACACCACACGCAGAACTTCCTCACACTGCATGCGAGATGCTTCATGATTCTGCTGGCACATATCTTGATATTCATTATGAATCTTCCCCTAAATCATGAGAAGAAATGAGAGAGTGAGCAAAACTGTTTACACTTTAATCATAAAGACAGATTATTGTACATGGATTGAATCTCCATTACTTGAATCTGTGCACATATTCACTATAATAAATGCAAGTGTAGTACAAGTTTTCTACGTTTTAAAGGTTCATGCATTTAAATACTTTTAATTAAATGTTTCAACTACACATGCATAAATGTAAAATATGTAAACCATTTGATTATTCAGTTTCATTTAAAGCAGCACTATGTAACTTTTGGCGCTCTAGCGGTTAATAAACAGAACTGCACGCATCCCGTGGAAGAATATTCTAACCGGAGCTACTTCTCTAAGTTTATGTCTATGGCGATTCACGCAGGTATGTGTTACTCCGCAGCGGTGACGACCCGACCAGGCTACAATAGTCCAAATATAAGCACTTATTATAAGTGTAACGTAGTGATTCGGGATAAGACAAAAATGCGGTTTGGAAGATGAATTCATGATGTACTCGAAAAATCGACGCGTTTCAAAAAGGCGGGGCATAGAGGAGAAACAATAATGTACAGTATGTGGAAAATAATGTGTTTTTTTAACTTTAAACCGCATAAACACATTTCATTACACCAAATACACAAAATAATGTTATTTTTAGCAGCATCATATGACCCCTTTAATGGAAATTCGTAACACAATTGAAATGTCTAAATCTTAACAGGTTGCAATATTTTTAATGTGTGTATTTGTGCATGCATTTTTTAGACAATATTGCAGATTTTGCAAAAGAAAAGGAGTCTGTGATAGTTCTCTTTTGAATTTTTTGTTTTTGGGGTTGTGTTTGCGGAACGATGTATGTTATAATACATCGCGTACACTCACTAAACAAAGAGTGACAGAGACAGAGACAGAGCAGAGCCAATTCATAAAAGAACAATATTTAAAACCACACGTCCAGTTTTGTGTGAGTGAAGGAAATTCGCTTGGGAGTGGAGAGATTCGTCCTTGCGCACATGGATCGCGTAACATTATGCGCTCTCGACATTGTCATTAAGATCACACTATAGAAACCGCCTAAAATTAAGTATAAAGAAGAGAAGAAAGCGGCCCTAGGCAGCTGCCTACACATGCCAGTATCCGCCACTGCCAGATGCAGTTAGAAATTTACTAAAAACAAGCCTATCGCAAGACAGCTGGTAGGGTGGGCACCTGGGGTGGCCAGCCAAATTTCAGGGGGGGCCGGTGCCACACCTGGCCACCACGTAGACATGCCCTTGTGTAGTACGTCCAGTTGTCAGTACATACTGATTGTGTATTACGTACATTTAGAGCATAGGGCAAGAATGCAAATTAGGACACAGTATAGTTCAGATAGTTTCTGTTTCAAGTTGATCTTTCCATATTTATATCTGCTTGTCACTGTTTTCCTGTTTGTCCCTAATTTTGTTTGGTTTGTATGCAGAAGTTAATGTACCATGAGCTCTTGATGGTACATCTGATCATTGTCATTGAAGGCCATGGTGATAAAAACTTCAATGGCCTTCTTCTCTGCAATTTTGTGGATGTCGGACAGCTCTTCTGGGCGCATAGGAAGCGGAGCTATGCTGAGCATCTCAGTCATGTAGAACTGCATGGCTCGTTCCACTGCACGGACATTCTGGATCTTAGCCAGAGACACAACTGCATTCTCCAGACATGGAACATTCCCACTGCTGATCGCCTCTATATAAACCTCAGCAAGATTACCCAGAGCTGTCAGGAAACACAACTCCTTAGTTCAGTCAACTGTATGTTTTTTTGTACACAGTCCATTGATCATTGGTTCTCAAAAGAAATTCACAACTGTCATAAATTTGTTCTCTTTAAGGGATTTTGTGAAGGCACACACCTGTTCCAGTAATTGTACGGCCTCCACTGATGGTTTTTGGCTCTGCATTGTTGTAGACGTAATGGCAGAAGGTGTTTGCCTGCTCAAGGAACTCTGAATCCAGTTCTTTCTCGGACAGTTCCTCCATTCTTCTCATGTTTTGCGTACTAGCAGGCCGAGGGAACACAAAGCACTTCCTCACCGCAAAGAACTGTCGCAAACAACGACGAGGCAGGTTGTACTGCTCAGTCTGAGGTGAGCTACCTAAAATAAGATAATTATGGAATCATAATATTTATTGAATATACACTGAACAAAATTATAAACGCAACACTTTTGTTTTTGCCCCCATTTTTCATGAGCTGAACTCAAAGATCTAAGACTTTTTCTATGTACACAAAAGGCCTATTTCTCTCAAATATTGTTCACAAATCTGTCTAAATCTGTGTTAGTGAGCACTTCTCCTTTGCCAAGACAATCCATCCACCTCACAGGTGTGGAATATCAAGATGCTGATTAGACAGCATGATTATTGCACAGGTGTGCCTTAGGCTGGCCACAATAAAAGGCCACTCTAAAATGTACAGTTTTATCACACAGCACAATGCCACAGATGTCGCAAGTTTTGAGGGAGCGTGCAATTGGCATGCTGACTGCAGGAATGTCCACCAGAGCTATTGCCCGTGAATTGAATGTTCATTTCTCTACCATAAGCAGTCTCCAAAGGCGTTTCAGAGAATTTGGCAGTACATCCAACCGGCCTCACAACCGCAGACCACGTGTAACCACACCAGCCCAGGACCTCCACATCCAGCATCTTCACCTCCAAGATCGTCTGAGACCAGCCACCCGGACAGCTGCTGCAACAATCGGTTTGCATAACCAAAGAATTTCTGCACAAACTGTCAGAAACAGTCTCAGGGAAGCTCATCAGCATGCTCGTCGTCCTCATCG